CCTACCTTTTCTTTCCTTTGGACTCCTGAAATAACTGTTCATGTTTGAGCCACTCCCATTTCCCCTTCTACGTCCTACCTTGAAAACCTGAACCTTGAATTCTTGAAGACTAGAACCATTGATCATTATCGAGAGTTTTCTCAAATGACTCCCGTCATTTGGGATGTAATTAACTATAGGGGCTTGCCTCTATAGGGAACTTGGAACCCAGATAAAATAAACCCTATTTAATCTTTGTATTAAATAGGGGAACTTGTCGGTCATATATAAAAGGTTCGCAGACTAAACGGATGTCACAAATCTCTTAGTTTGTTGGATTGGGTCTACCGCCGAGGTCTACACTTATCTTTCGGGAGAGTGTAGTATTCGCGGTATCAGGCACGATTATGCAAACTATTGGACGAATGAGATCCATTTGGTCTCATTTTTCAAAAAACTAAAACACACTACTTTCAAAACCCAAACTATATATCTTTTATATTCAAATTAAATCTCAAAAATTATTTTCATATATCATATTTTCAAATAAATCTAATCAATCGAAAAAGTTGACCGACAATTGTTAGGCTGTTAAAAAGCTCGTTCAGTCCTTCAAGAAGTAGAAGCAAAAAGAAAATAGGGTAAACATTCCCATTATAATTGACCATTATTCTGACAGCAGCAGTCCAGATCTGCCAGAATTAGAAAAAGAATCTACCATAGCATGGGAATAATTAACCATTTAACATTCACTGAATAATGAAAACAAAACCTTCGATATGACTAATTTTACCTCCCAACGAGCAAGTGCAATATTTACACCTACAATCTTCAATATCTGACCACGGGTTCCAGGTGGGATAAAAACACCTTCAACACCAGAAATGGGGATTCTTTGCTCAGCTTCAACTACGTCATAAACATCCATGAGTTCGGATTCTGTAGGGCTCTCATATAACCCCGTCATACCATTCATTTTTTCTAAAAAATTGAACCTGAAACAAAGAGCAAACTAATGTGTAGCCAGACAAAAGACTTGTTCCATAATACATGCAACTATGCAGTTTCTATTAACAAGGACATAAATTATCATAGGTATATTGAAACAAAATAATTATCTTCTAAGGGAATAACATGTTCAGTAGCAAAGCACACTTTTCCCACCAAAAGAACATTAAGAAAACAAAGTTTGCATTAAAAAAGTAATTGCAATCCCAAAAATTAAACCATTTAAGACTGCAGTGGAGCCAAAATATGTACACGGAACATAAAATATAAATTAGGTGTGTTTACATAAATACCGCACAATTCCTACACATTTACATATATAACACCCAAATTTTATATTTTTAATGCTTATACCAACCAAATCTATCATATAACATCAGATATATCACTGTTTTTATTTTTTAAAAAATGAAAAACACATTTTCATGCCTAGATAAGGTGTCATATATACTGTGGGCATCCCTCCCGCGTTATCTGAAGCGAAAAAGGGAATCAAAGAACACCTGGATCAATCCGAACCAGGCTCTGGGAGAGTCGATCGGCTCTTCCAAAAAGGTTTGGCACATCATTCAACAGAAGGGCCCACTCTTAGTTATCCTAGAGTTACATATTTGTATTTTGATGTTTAGGCTCAGTTTTTGGTGAGTTTTCTGTTTCAAAGTTTTCCCTTCTAGGGTTGTATCCAAGTGCGAGTGGTGCACCGGCTGTATCTCGTTCGAAGGTATTGATTATTACTCAAATTCCCTTTCATTGAAACCTTCCCTCTCCTACCACCATCCTTCCTCCCCCGCAAGCTTCCTTCACATCCCAGTTGTAGACCCCACCCCAAAACAGCACTTGGTTCTTCATCTGGAGTGCTATCCTGGGTTACCGAAATCCCTAGACTGTGGTTTGGCTTAACTACAGTATCACTTGGTATCCTAACCCTAGCCTTAACCAAGAATTACTGAGAACACCCACCACATAACCCAAGCGCCACAAAAAAGCCATTTCCTTTGCCAATTTTTCAAATGAGCACTCAAAATTTTTTGTTTATCATCCTAAATCCAACCCCATGCACTCTCTTTCACCTCCCAGACCTAAACCCTAGCCACACCACCAGCGAAACAATTGTCAGAAACTTGATCAGAAGGAAATGATAAAGTGTCGCTTATGAGAAATCCACGAAGAGATTTCAAAAACTTTCTTTGGAAAATATACAATATGAAATCCTCCAACTGAAATAGAGGCCCACCATCTCCAAGAGGAGACAATCCTTAGAGATCACACAGATTTCATTTGATTCCCGAGATAAAGAACCACTACTCCGAAAATTTGGCATAAAATATTGGAGAAGCTGGATTTTAAAGTAAAGGCAAATTTATCATACTTTGAAGGCCACAAGAATCCAAACGAGTTTATCGACTAGCTCTAGACTATAGAATGTCTATGAGCGTCAGGTCCCACTGGATAAAATGGTGATACTAGCCGCCGTCAAGTTAACGAATAGTGCATCTCAATGGTGGGAAAACTTGAAGATTCTTCAACAACGAAAAGTTAAGAGGGAAATTACTACCTGGTCAAAGATGAAACAAGATATGCAGCACTAGTACCTACTAGTTCTCCATAGACAAGATATTACAGACCCTAGCTTTAAAAGCTGAGAGGCAACCTCACCAGATCACCATTTCTTATTACAGGCATGGATCAATCCCAAGATCAAACAACAAAAACACACTCAACAAAGCATCAAAGTCGACTTTGCCCGAAGAGAAACTAGTTCAGAGTGGTAACTAGTGGAACCAATAGCATCCCAAAGCTGTCCCAGCCGAGAAGTATTTCATGTGCCGCGAATTTGGACATATTGAATCAGATTGCACAATCAGGGGAATGATCTCATTTAATGAGTGGGAACATGAAGAAATGGGCAACAGTATAAAAGACACTGAAAAATGTGAGAATACAAAGGAGAAGTATCAATTTCAATTGATGAGAAACAAAAGCATGAAGCTCAAACTAAGCCCATGAGAGAAACTCCAACACAATTAACAATGTTTGTCCAACACAACCATGAGTTCAAGAAATTTAGACTAGCCACCTTCCAACCCCAGATAAGAGAATTCAAGGCCTTCAGATATATAGTCTACTTTTTGAGTTGCCCCTACAAATGGAGCTCCAACATGATGGAGTTAAGAAGTGATTACGCCACTTCTAAAAGACTATATGGAGCAATTTGAGTATTAAAATCAGTTCAGCAGTATAAGCATTGACAGATGATAAGACAGAATTGATGGACCACTGTGTTGGAAATCTACTTGGGAGCCTTGGGCGAAAGAACATCCTACAATGGGAGTAAGGAGCTACCAAAGAAGAAGAGGTCTCTCCTGAAAGATTGGTATAGAGAGTTGCGCAGTCTACCACTGGTTTTCATTCCAAAGTTTGTTCCTTAAGAAGAATTCGTTTATCAAGTTACCCTAAAGTATATATTTGTGCTCCTGATGTTCAGGTTCTATTTTCAACAAGTTTTCCTTCGGGACAGTCGTCGGCGTCTTCAAGTCTCCCCTTCTAGGGTTGTATGTATTCAAAAGCTAGTGGTACTCCGATTGTATCTCGTTTCGATGAGATGATTATCCTTGACTTCCCCTTCCACCAAAACCATCCCTCCGTTGTCATCATCTTTCCTCAACGTCGCAGCCACCGAACAGCCCTTCCAGAATAGTTTTCTGCAATTTCAGATACTGCCACCTTCCCAACCTAGCCTCCCCTGCTATCACGCAATCTTCCCAACCACCCTCTGTCGCAACCTACCTGCTATCCAGTCCTCCCTCTTGGTATTTCCAGCATTCCACAACCTTCCCACCCGTCCTTACACATTTGTTCCTGCCAATCTGTTTTCCAGCCCTCACCCATGTAGTTTCCAGAAATCCACAGCCCTTCCGGCCGCCCTTACCACCCTCTATTGTTGTCGAACTGCTATGCAACCATATCCCTTGTCGTTTCCGGCCACACACAGCCTTTTCAGCCACCCCTATTCGTTGTCGCTCCTTGTCCACCCCATTCCAGCCACCTAACACTACTTCTGGACAACCTAGCCGGCCTCCACCACCCACAGATTGAACCTGCGCGAGTTTGTGTTGTATCATTATTATTTCTCATTTTAACGTTTGTTTGGTTGTAATCGACTATTTGTCTTTTTTAGTAATAATATTTGTTTTCTATTGTTGTTTGGAATAACTACAGTATCAATATATTTAAATTTTGAAGTTTAAATGCAACACATGTAAATACATATGAATTGTGTAGTATGTAAGTAAATTTTTCTGTAAAGTATTAGTCAAAATATAAAGCATTAGCACAAGAAGCACCACGAAGAGTAAACATACACGCACTCCGCAGACCAGGATCCGCTGCAAAGCGAAGATAGTAAATGGAGAAGTTCAGTTATCTGATACGGGTATTCACTTTCCAGCATATAGAGCAAAGATCGAATCGGCCCATCAACAAAACTATCTCTGTCCCAGAACTGAATTGAAAGGGATTCCTGGATCAATAAATTACTATATTCAGAAAGCGCAAAATGAAAACTGTCATCATCATGTAAATTGCAAGGCCAGTATAAATGTCGATAATCTTCAAACCTCCCCTTTGTAGATTTCACAAAGTACGTCCAAAATCAACCTTAGCAAGTTTTCTTCAGGCTGAAGAAAAAAGAGTGGACTAATTAGAAAGCTAGTTACGGCTTTCACATGCATGAAATAATGACTTAAAAATTATTCAAGAGTTGACAAGCATAACCAAGAACCTATTTGGCTGGTAGGTGTTGACTTACGAATCTGCAACCCAACCCAATCAAGTATAATGACGATGAGGAACGATAAGAGGAACATCTCATGAAACAATATCAAAACGTATCGCCAACAATTATAAGTGCACAAGCAGCACTGGAAAAACAAAACAGACTGAGTCAACCAGTCCGGAACTTGAAATCACCTAAATAAGATGTCTAAAAAATCTGACACATCACACGATGAAAAAAAAAATTCATTTGAAAAAGTGCAAGAATGTCACTTACATCGCAACATAAAAACTGACACATTTGAAATAACCAAAATATAAAAACAAAGAGCATCATCAAATCATCACAAGACAGACAAATCAAACAATGGATGTGAATTCACACAAATTTATTTTAAAACATCACAACCGCAATCGAAGTGATTTAAAGGTCATTTGTTTGCAAAATGGATTACGCTGATGAGTCCTAAGAATCGAAAGTACCAAATAGATATCAACGATTGATTGAATGAAATACGACATCCCTCAATTTCAATCTAAATTGCTCAAATATAACTAATTTACAATACCAACTAGAGCAATGCATCCGGATGTAAAATATAGCAATTAAAATACCTAAGTTTCCTTAGTCACAGCAATGGATGAAAAGCAAAATCTACGCATGTTCAATGCGGCAATATTTAATCTAAGATGCATTAGAAAAGAAAAAATTTAGGAGCTAATACAGAATAATTTTAAAAAGTTTTAATTTATTTTATAAGAGAATCAAATTTTCCATGAAAATCTGCAAAATCCTGCCACAAAACCCCACAACTACCTCCATCCCATATGCAGCCCATCTCCATCACATCCCACTTATAAAAAATGGAAATCTAACATAAATCCTAAACAAAAAACAAATGCTCACGCCCCTCTTACTCACATACCAAGTCCATCATGTACTCTTCCTCTCACGCTCTCAACCTTTCTCATAACCGAGCCATTCATATCCACTCCCCTCCACCTTTGTTTAACCAAATAAAAATTCTTAAACTTAAAAATATTCAAGTAAAATCTATCGTTTAAAGCTATGAGAAATAATTCATCAACCTTGTGCACTAGTTTGTTCAGGGAGTAAAACAATGAAGATAAATCTCAACTAACGAAGAGCCAATACCATAGAATAGTTCTATAATTACTAACAATTAAAAAAATTTTCTCATCACCAATAACAGTAGCTAACAAGTGCTTCCACCTATGGGAAACTTAAAATCAGTCGTTGTCCCAACAAAATGAAAAAAAAATCTCTAAATAATGTCATATTTAAAAATCTAATTTCTCAACTGAGATTTCGCCCGAAAATACAAAACTCTCTAAAGGGTCAAACGTGACCTTCAGAAACCAGAGTACAAAGTGCTTTTAAATACTCACATTATTAAAAGAAGGCAAGAAGAAGATTTTGTCGTTCTTTGGATGAAAGAACAGCTACCTGATGATTAAGTTCATAAGAAGCGATAAATGCAGAGATGAATGTTCGCAAAATGTTCAAAAAACCGGAAATTGGTCCCTGCAAAAAGTTTAAAGAAAATTATCCATTAGGCATCCCTTTACTGATTGAAATGCGGCGTTCTTCAATTCAATATTCAATAGATAATGATAAAAAATGTAAGAAAATTACAAAAAACAGTAACAACTAGAATATTAACAAAACAGACGATATAAAATTTAAAAAACAGAAGCGCAAATGCATTTGCCATAGTATCTTTGCAGTAGCATATAGAGCATATAAGTCTATTCTTAAACAAAATTAAAAAGGGAAAAGGGAATTAACTAAGAAATACACAAAACACTAAATCATCAGAATCCATAAGTCAAGTTACTCTACTGTTCAACTGAACTGTGAGGTTATCAACTAAAGAGCGTTCTCAAAATTAAACGATTAATATTAAGACAATATAAGAACTCAGTTTTTATAAACAAATTGTTGTGCTTATATCAAGCATTCCCATCAATTCTGCAGAAGCTGGTCCACTAATGAAGAATTTCAATAAATCACTATCTACCGTTCTAATCATTCCACCAAAGTAGCAAAATGTAAAAAAAATATATTGTGAACACTCGCCCTACAAAAAATTGCAGGATATGCAAAAAAACAGAACATATAGGCATCCATAAAACCTTATAGAATTTGCAGAGCAAGGTGAGAACAAGATCAGAAGGAAAAAAAATTTGAACTGCAAAATTTAATATTAACCAAACTAGTTCTTCGTGTACAAAAAGCCGCTATACCAAGACCTTAACTTCCCGTCAATACCAACCACATTCAATAAAAAATAACCGAAATGTGATAACTGTATCAAAAGGAACACAGAATTCAAAGTATATTGTAGATATTGTGCAAAGGGCGCTCAAATTAAGGAAGATATACATGCATACCACTCCATTCCTATGTATTTACATATCTAACAACTAAGCTTTAAGTTTTACATATATGCCACCTATCTCATGCTGAAAATGTGTATTTCACATTTTAAATTTTAAAATAGAGGTATTTTTTAAGAGATATGAAAGATATGGGTGGTATAAATGTTAAAATTAAAATTTAGGTGTTAAATATTTAAATATATAAGAAATGGGTGGTATGTATGTAAATGTACTTTAAATTTAAAAACTGAAGCAATAACAGATGCCATTAGAAAATTAATTTCAAGAAGTTTATAATAAAGCAACTTACATCCGAATACCTCAAACAATCACTACGAAGAACGTCAAGCAAATAGTTGAATGTTCCAACCTCAAATGCTTGGCGGGCATAATCAACATGATCAATTTCCTACACAAGTAAAAATAATTTTAAATATGACATGCCCAAAACTGTTTAGCCTTATAAAAAAAAAAATAATTACAAATGAAACTACTTACTGTGAGAATATTTTGATTTTTTATATCTGGAAGTGACGAAAGCAAACAGATGAAAACTGCCCAAGCAAGATACAAAGGTCCTGATTCAAACGTTCCCAACCTAGAAAAGGTGGAAACGAGAAAATCTATTTCCTGAACATCTTGCAGGGAAAAGATAGAACCACCTTCACTGATAACAAAAAAAATAATAATAAAAAAATAAAACAAGAAGAATTAACATATAAAACACAAAATTTACAGGCTATTATCAAAAAACTACACTACAAGATCAGTGAACAGTAAAAAATACAGTGTATGCTGACCGAAAAGGCACTTCATCATGAACCATGCGAAGAAGATTTTCCAGATCTAAAGTTTCAATAAGAATGATAAGTAGTTGAGCTTTAGCATGATTAAATGAAGCACTTGCTTCAACTGAAATCGCCAAATTTTCAATGCTATAGGCACCTCCAAGTATATCCTGCAATTTAGCACATTTTCGTTGTTTAAAAATTTAAAAGGAAGATTTGCATACATACCACTCGATTCCTATGTATTTACATATCCAACACCTAAACATCCATTTTTACAAACATGCCACTTAACCCATGCAAGGTGTAATTCACATTATAAAAGGTTAAAACATAAAATTGTGATATTTTTTTATGTGATATGAATTATTTAGGTGATATAAATGTAAAAAGTACAGTTTAGGTGTTTGTATGCAAATTCATAAAAATTGGGCGATATGTAACCCCAGTTTAAAACTAAAGAAAATGGTATGTAGGATAACACAAAATACAACAGGAAATCCATCATAAGCTGACCTTGAATAATGAGCATAAACTCATCCATTGTGCAGCATTGCAAACACAGAAATTATCATAATAAACGAGGAACAAAATATCCAAAATCAGGGTATCTTCAACAATAGTTTCGTCCGCCCAAAGTCCAACCAATTCAACATCCTGAAGCTGGGCATTAATGTAAGAATAACTATTACAAAAAAACAAGAAAAGGGTGAAAAGGCCGGACAGAAAAGGCCATGTCTAGCTTAGCATGCTACTCATAATTTAAAACTTATCAACACAAAAAGGTAACTTAACCAATAAATGTATTCAGAGGTTCATTCATACAAAATAAATATCTAGAGATTTAGACATTTGATTAAAAAACTTTGAGAGAAGAATAAAATTGCTTAAATGTTTAAATTTACAAAACAGGTGCAGGAAATGAGCATATTGTAAAGCTGCAAAGAATGCATTCAATCTATTCGATGCATTTAGCAAAGGAATTTGCCTTGAAATAAAGAATCGACAAAGCAGATGCATTGCATGACCATGAAATTTGCAAAGTTTATAAATGAGATGCCCAAGATGGTTCTATGTGAAATGAATTAAAAAGCACTCAAAGAAAAGTGCAAATGGAGCTTTTTTGTTCCCTGATAGCACGCCTAATTTCATAATGTCGCTACTTTTTATAGAAATCCCCATGAAGTGCTAATAACAAGACCACTACTGGATACCACAGCTGAAGGTGATAAAACAGCAGCATTTTTGCATAGGTTTTAGAACAAACATAAGAGAAACCGAAATAGATAAAATTCTATTTGAAGCCATAAAGATGAAGAACCAGTGAGCACAACTGAAAATTGTGTTGAAACATTCATAACTTGACAGTTGGAAGGTAAGAATCCAGTAATAATGAAAACCAAGAGAGATACGGAAAGAAGAGATTAGATAAAATATGAAAAAAAAAAAACCTCAAGGAGGGCTCAAGTTAAAAAACAAAAACAAGACCTGCATCAGCAGAAAGTCATCTCTTTTTTCTATCTTCAAAAGCAACTTATCATAAAAGGCCGTATTTAGATAAAGTATTTATTGGGCAAGAAGTTACAATAGTCATATATGCCAGATGAAACTTAACCACTACAATTAAACCTAAAACAAATAGGAATGATGACTTAAACATGGCATTAAATAACAGTAATTAAACCGAAAATGCTATGACTCATGAAAAAGGACTGAACTGAGGCAGGACTTAAACAATCCGCATAAGATGTAAATATCAAACATGATTTTTTTTACTAAAAATCAAACTATCATTACAGTTTATTTTGAAAAATAAAATCTAGTTGCCTGTCTCGTCCGGCTTATGCAGATGGAAATGGATTATTCATTAGTAACACTTCAAAGGTAAGCTTAAAAGCCAAGATGAAATAAGTGAGAATGCGCACAAGAATTGATAGGATACAAAAACTGACATTAGCATATTTTTACAAGCTGGATGGTAGAATTTGAAGCGAAAAGAATGAAGGCCTAAAAATTTTGGAAAATCAAAAATTAAAAAGGCATACTGAAACCTTAGATGGCCTTAATTTCCTTTTCTTTCTCCAGCCGTTGCCTTTAAAAAATGTCAAGAATGATTAAAGGCCATAATGCCAACAAAACATATTAAAAAATGCTATAAGACAAAAAATTCTCTTACACAGGCAATAAACCAATGCACTTTAAATTCCAACATGACAAGTATGAAACTGTGGGTTTTCAAAATTTCGATGCCCCGGACTGTCGTTGTTGTTGAGACTTTATTGTTCGGTATTCCGAGTCAAATTCTCAAAAGGCAGATTGGATTGTAAGCTTAGGATTCACCCTCATTTTGCGAGAAATTTTTTTATTTAGGCTTCGAGGTTTCCCATCGGTGTAAGCCCCTATATTTAATAATTGTTAGAAGTTATCAGTGTTTGTTTCTTTCCTTTCTGAATATTTCCTAGTTTATGCATTTCCTTTTTATGTATTTCCTAGTTTATGTATTTTCAAGTTTATGTATTTCCTTTTATCTCTAAGTAGTTGATAGGAATTAATTTAATCATAGAGATTTAGGTGTTTTGTCTTTCCAATTTTACAACTCTTGTAACATCTAATTATACCCTTTTTTATATCAATAAAATTATCCTACTGAATTTCAACATGGTATCAGAGCCAACAGATCCTTCCCTAGCAATCAGAATTCTTCCAGTCATCAGAATTGCCACCTGCTCACCTATAGTTGTTGGTCCTCCCCTTTTCCAGCCGTCAAACACCCTTATTGCAACTAGAAACTCAGCCAACATCCCAAGGCGAGCAGCCCGCACCCATTCCTACTAACGAGAATCTTCCCTGCAGGTCTTCTTGAGCCATGTACAAAGAACCGTGGGATCTCCTTTTTTATAGGTTGGAACCTTTTTTTTGCAACCTGACCAACATTCTACTTAACCAAACCTTTTTTTTTTTTTTTTTTGCTGAAATTTCTTCTTTGTATCCCTTCCTATTTTGTTGATATCCTTGCAAGAAATCCTCTTCCTCCATGTCTTGCCATCCAGGCCTCTCATTTGGCTCCATCAAAGCCATGGTTGGATTCTCCACTATCGAGCTTACGCCTGACATAATTCTTGAATCCACCAGAAGATCGGCACCTACTTCAATCCCTCCACAGAATGAAGGATCTAAAAATCATATGAATTTCCTAATTACCACCCATAAGCTCAACGGCTCTAATTTCCTACAATGGACTCAAGTTGTGTTGTTGTTCGCAAAGGTCATGGTAAATTCAGCCATCTTACATGTATATTTCGTGAATCTCTGAAGACCAACTAATTATATGTAGCATGGGAAATAGAGAGCTCCAATGTCATGCCATGACTGATTAATTCTATGTATACATCAATTAGTCGTTCGTACTTGTTTCTTTGGTCCACAAGTGCCCTCAATTAGTCGTTCGTACTTGTTTCTTTGGTCCACAAGTGCCCTTGAGACTATCATTCGAGACCCTTACTTAAATATAAGTAATTTTGGACAACTCTGAGTTTTCTAAGAAGATTTGAGAGGTGAAGCAGGGAAAGAAGATGGTGACCCGGTACTACAACGACTTGGTTGCATTATGGATGGAATGTGATTTCTACTATGACTTAAATTGAGACTAGTAGATCTTTTCATCTTCCAAAAAATTTTAAAAAAAGATTGTGCATTCCAATTCCTAGAGGGCCTGAACAAGGATCTCGATAAAGTATGCGTCGTATACTTGGGTGTGATCCCCTTCAACCCGGGCAGCATTCACTGAGATTCACCGCGAACAAAGCTGGAGACTTGTCAAGCTCGGCAACTCCACTCCTTCAACCTAAACTTCAACCTTGTTCTCCAACAGTACTCCACACTCTGTCATGCTGTCGTGAGCCACTCACACGACATGTGATTTTTGTCACAAACCCTATCACACACATGACAAGAGTGGAAGGCCCACGGAAAACCGACAAGTCTTTGGTCAAATCTTCAGCAACTAAAGGTCTCGCTACGAGCTCTAAATCCACAATAGTTTAGTCGGCTCCTACTCAAACCATTCCCGAATCAACAGACTCCATCAAGCATTAGATGTAACACTTGATTAAATTCTTGAGTCTAGTCAGCTCTCCTTCAGCCCATCAAACTCTCACGTCCGACAAGTTAACATCTCTATGACACTCGTTGGTTTTGCTTCTTCTAGCTATGGATTAATGATTCAGGTGACAATGACCAATAAACCGAGGGTTCTCATTTCTTCTCGGCGTATTCTCTTTGCTCCGAGCGAGATACGATTAAATTTGTCGATGCCTCTTGTAATTTTATTGTGGGTAAAGGGTCAGTTGCACTTACAGCCAAGTTGACTTGAAATATGTGTTGAACATTCTTTTACTTAAATACAATCATTTGTCGATCAATAAGTTTATATATGATATTAATTGTGTTGCTCATTTTTCATTTGATGTTTGTGTTTTTCCGGATCGTCGTTCGGCGATGATGATTGGAATTGTTAAGTGGGTAGTTGGGGACTATTTTTTTCAAGAAAATGACATAGATGGCACCGACATTTAATGCAGTAGTTGTAGTCTTTTTCTTATTGCATGCCTTATTATGTTTTTACATGGTCGTTTGGATCATCTCAGTTTTCACTATTTAAAACATTTGTACCCTTGATGGTTACCGGTTAAAATTCATCTTCTTTTAAATGGGAAATTTCTTAGTTCGCTGAGCATCGACATGTGTCATATCCACCTCATCCTTACACTCCTTCCTCTCCTTTTTCACTTCCTAGTAATTTATGGGGACCCTCTCGAACTGCAACCTACACGAATAAAAGGTAGTTCCTTACTTTAATTGACGAACACACTCGAACGCCTTGGGTCGATATTTTAAAAGATAAATCTAAAGTTGCGACCAATTTTAAAAAATTTTCCGCTCCTTCATTTTAGCCAAATTCAAAACAAATATTCAACTCCTTCAGACGTACAATGGTCATAAATACTTTAACTCTATATTAGGAGAATTCTTGGTGAATAAAGGCATCATTCATCATAGTTCCTATATGGATACCCCTCAAAACAATGGGGTAGCCCAGTGGAAAAATAGACATATTTTTTAAGTTGCTCGTTTAATTATGTTACAAACAAATATCTCTAAACGGTTTTGGAATTATGACATCCTCACCGCCAACTACCTCGTCAATAGAGTTCCCACAAAAATCCATAAATTTAGGACCCCATTATCCATCCTAATGTCATGATTTCCTACCAGTTGGTCCTTCTCAATGTTAGATCCCAAAATATTTGGGTGCACGATCTTTGTCCTAAACACAGGCCCAATTCGTAGACTTGATCCCCGCTCAATTAAATCTGTTTTCATTGGTTATTATGCCACTCAAAAAGGCTACCGGTGTCTGTATCCTACCACTAAAAATATCTATGCTAGTGGTGGTGTTTCCTTTTCTGAGAAATATCCCCTTCCTCCCTAACACTACCTCAAGTGAGGGGGACCTGATTTTATGGAAATTGCTCCTCTTCCGACTCCATTAGACATTCCTCCTACAATCACAGTGTCAGGTGCACTCTCGGCATCGATGGATTCTCCCCTAACCAGACCAACATCACCGCCACCCTTTATTCGGGTCTATATCGATC